TATATACACATGTACACGTATACAGAGAACTGAAAAGTTCGCAGCCCCTTGGTAAATTCGTAACGTGGAATGACGTCATTGGTGAGCGCGCGCAAATGCCCCTGTTTCACAATCCGCAAACGTCGTTTCCCGCGATTCGTGCCACGGGGGCACCGCTCGTAAAGCCATTTCGGCGATCTCGCGACATAAATTATAAAATCGACCGACGCCAGATCGTCTGTGCAATGGCCGGCATGTAGGACGACGTGGAGGAATCCGACGTTGGAGAGACATCAGATACATACTGTTCTTCGTACTTTCCCCTACCTCTCACTATCTCACATTCTTGGACCATTCGACTGGGATTTATTTCGACTCGATTGACAATGGACTCTCAACCGGAATGTTCTCCGGTTTGAGAACTCGCGAAAATAATTCACTACCTTTCTCTCTTAATTGATGACCGAGATAACCGACAGTAACAGGGAGCACGTACGTGGAACACTGTAGATGATGTTTGGAAATTAAGAAAAGGATGTGGTAGATTAGAGTCTGGATAACGTTGGAAGATAAGGTTCTCTGCTTGGAACTGAGTGGACGATTTCCTGCTTCCTTTGACACTGGAGTACTACTTAGAGCAGTTGGAACGAATACTTCAGAATTTTCTTTTGTAGAAATTTTACAGATGCAGCTTTCAGGGATTGATGCATTTTTGGTAACATGTGGACAAAAGCTTTTCTCTTTGTATTGTGTTCAATTACAATTTGTTTCCAATTTCAGTTTATAACAATAAGTGGAATGCCCGAATTTAAAGAAATAATTATTCAAACGATATTTCATTGTTTCAAGTATTTGAGACGCAGTTTAACACATTCAAAAGAACTTCAGAGATCTAAGGAGATCTCAAATTAGAAATGGTAGTTTCTTAAAATCGGCTGATTGATCTTCTTAATTAACTTGGAACAGAACAGCAAGTTTAACATCACCAATTTCTAATTTACTTTTTCTTTTCAGAATTTTGCAACTCAGGAAACGGAAAGAGATATCCAGATTGATAAGAATGGACATAAAGTTAAGTGATCCACGTTCCAAGGTATAAGCAGGATCAAGAAACCGACGTTGAAGACAAAAGGAGAGAAACAAAATGAAAATTGGAAGAAAGACGGATGAACTTAGCAGCGTGAAAGATTGTGCAGGTTTGACGGATGAAAGGAAAAGATAAACTCTTTCTCTCTCTCTTTCTCTCTTTTTCTCTCGGAAGAAGGATGAAGAAGACTAGTTTAAAAAGCCTGGATGATGTGGAGGCGGGTGACGGATGGAGATCGGTGATGCGGAATGCGTGAAATAATATTTGGGCCGAATGTGGTAACAAGGAATACATGGTATACGGTTTTCGATTTCCCACGAGAGATCAGGCAAATTCACAACCCAATCTGTCGGTGAGCCAAGAAGAACAGCGGGACATCGCGCTGCGATGAGTTCGGTGATCTCACCATCCTTTATGATTTTTTACTCTGACTGCGATTGCTAACGATTGCTAACCGATTGCAACAGAAGAGCAGAGAGAACTGTCCAGAAGAGCAGAGAGAAACGATTCGCTGAATTTTTACCTCGTGAGAAAACTGACATACCATGAAGCTTATTCGAATACAAAGAAGAAGAAGAAGAATATTTGGAATTGTAAACTTCAAAGCGAAGGTTACAAGGCTGCTTCTCAGGAAAGAACAGTTCAAGAATTCGCAAGCTGCGTCGTGATATTTCAAAAAGAATCGTCCAACCAAATAATTCCAAGGAAAATATTACCAAATATCAGAAAAGACAATCTCAAGATGCATCGCTATATACATCAACAATGTCTTGATTCAAGTCCAACCAATATCAGAAAAAGGGAGGGAGAGAAAACATAAATTAAATTCTAACATAAGTCTGGACACATCAGGAAGGACAGGTCAAGAATTTATAAATTCTGTTGCAATATTTCAAGTAATTTCAAGGGAAATATCATAACCAAAGACTAGTCTAACATTGGGAAAAATCAAGAAAAATGTTATTACCAAATATATCAGAAAAGACAATCTCAAAATGCATCACTGTATATATATATGTCATCAACAATATCCTGACTGAAATCCATCCAATATTAGAAAAAGGGGGAGAGGAGGAAACATAAATTACATTCTCCAATGTAAGTCTGGATACATGTAAGCCAAATCAGGAATTTATAAACTATATTGCGATATCTCAAACAATTTTCAAAGGAAATGTCAGAACCAAAGACCAGCCTGACATCAGGGAAAACAATCTCAGGATACATATTTCAAAATAACTCTTATCAAGATAAATTAGATTAAACAAAATATTTTAAGTAAAATCTCTTAAAGAAACTCAGACAGTCTCGGAATCCGCATTGTTCTTATGATATTATGGTGTGTTTCAGGAAGAATCTCGTGACTGCTTCTGGTAATAATCCCATTGCTCATCCTTTGTCGTTTTGCGTAATTGGATAAATGATTCTGATGCCATCGTAAGAAGACAAACTCTCTTAACATTGTTCAGTAACTCGATGTTACGGATAAACAAAAAAAAACCAAAGAATTCCAAAGCAGAATGATCCTCGTTGAAGAGAGACGAAAATGCAATGTAAACGGGTGTAAACGAGAATAGAAGGAGGCACAGTCCCGTATCGGAAACGCACACGGGAACATTCGCTGAACACACTGAATTCGACCTGTGAACCTGGCAGAAATCCAGAACCTCGCGCGTCACTCGTGAAAGAAAGCTCTCGCGACACGGGCGATAATCATCGTAAACGTTGTCGGAATCGCCCCCTTTTGTTTCGACTCGGCCGACGATGCCCGCGAGAAGCTTCTCTGACGTCAAGGAATCACTCGCCGTGCTCGAACGTTCGAATATTCAACACTTGCAGGATAGAAATGACTTTCCAATTAATCAGTTATTCTCAGTAATTTAGGTACTTGTTTTAGAACTTGATGATTTTCTGATCATTAATTATTCGAACAGTAATTTTCTAGTTATTTAATTAATTACGATTCGTTTCACAGGCGTGCGTGAATCTTCGAGATGTGGAGGAAGAAAGATCCTTTTGACGTATTGTCCTGCTCGTAGATCGATCCACAGGCTTTCGACGACGAAGCTTGGCAATCAACGTACCTGAGGAGAGTATTTTGACTGTTTGTTAAGGTAAACAAAACGACGAAGAGAATGGAGAGTCATCGTTGAACTATTTTGTAGATTCCAGAAGCTCTGGAACCTAAAGAGAGAGAGAAAGTCTCTTTCCAAATTCGACTTGGAAGATCAGGAATGAAGGGAGGAATCTTGTGAAATCGAGGGGAATTTCTGGCCTTCCTTGACCCTCGGTGACCCAAATATTTTCGCTTCTGACAGAGAGGCCGATGCAGAATTACGGCAGACCCGGTAGGAACGATCGGTCGTTCCCTTTTGTACGCTTCGCCTTCAAAGAGACCACTCTGTCTCTCCCTTAGAGAGAGTGACAAATCGTTGCCGACAAGTATCTTTAATTCGTCGAACGTTCGTCACTTCTCTCGAGCACAGGGGTAAAAGGATATCCTCTCAATTTTCAGCTGGCAGCCGTCACGATTCAAATCGTTTCTAGACGAATATTAAAAAAAAAAAGAAGAGAAGGAGGAGCGAAGAGATAAAAATTGAAGGAAGAGACAACTTGCTCGACGGACGTGTGTTCATCTAATTAATTGATGAACACTGATAGATTACACTGGTGTACAACTATGTGAAGATCATTGTGTGCAGACGGACCACGATGTCTTTCTTTTCTTTCTCTTTTGATTTCAGACAGTGGCATCCTGACCTATTCAACGAACGTTCTCTGGAGGTTGGCCCGCCGATTGATCCACGCGTTCCACTCCTCTACTTCCTTCTCTACTCAACGCAGCCCCGTCGAACAGACGGTTCGATGAAGAGAGGAATTTTACGACTCCACCACCATCGCCGCGTCTCTCCTGACCTTGCCCCTTGCAAACTTCTACAACCTCGTCTTCGCACACGCACACAATCTCCACGCATCTTCATCAATCAGTGGAAGCGTGGAAACTGGATCGGTCCACTCGCAAGCGTAAATAAAACCGACTCCTCGAGGTTCCTACCTAGCCAGCAATTATCCTCCGATTACTTTCAGTGAGGCATGCTACAATTTCGCTGGAGCGAGATCAATAACCAATGGCAAAACGAGCTGTCCACGCGATTGGAGCAGCAATGAAAAGAGAAGAACGTGAAAAACAGACAAGTCTCGAGGGAGGGGAAAAAGAGAAAGGGAGAGTTCGGTGGTGCAGCACCACGCGACCACGCAACGATCATTCCAGGAGGAGCAGGCAGCTTCTTTCGTCAACGTCGTGCGTCGCTAGAAAAACGATTAAAAATGGAATCGAGTCTGGTGGGAGTCTCGTGATCGTACCGATGTGTAAATACGTATCCTTGCAAGGGAGGTAGATCTTCTCCGTAGGCGTTATCTGCGCTGCTTGCTAAGCTGCAGGGTGGTTCCGTCCATCGCGTTTCTGGATCGTATCGCCCCGAGGATCGATCGTGGTCGGGTGCACACGCGCTGACCGGTTGCGGTACGCGTTCGGGAAACGCGTCCCGGACACGTTTCGCCTATACTCCGACTAGACAGAGCAGGAGGATCACGATACAACTTCCTCGACGTTGTC